AATAAGAGTTCCCTTGGCCGCTTGGTTATGATACATTAAAAAATATGTTCAGTTCTATAAGCCGAAGTTCTGCAAAAAGAATTCTAACATTAAAGTCGATGTGAGATCGAAGCTCCAAAGTAACATTTCATGAACTCGCTTGATATCTTTTCTCAACATTTTTAAATCGCNCATTTGAGATGTAACTGCAATCGATGTTGATGTTCCTGAAGCGTTCATATCAACTGTAGAAGTTGAGGCGGTTCCTTCTGAAACTGACTGAGTGGTTTCTTCAATCGAGGATATTTCAGAGGAAGCGATCAGCGTTATTCCCATCGCTGTTGGCTTTCCTGGTGTCAACAAGTCGGGAGGCTTCGTGAGTGGCGGCCGAGCTGTTGTGAAGAAGAGGAGGGGATCCAAGGTATCAGTTTCCTCCGTGATTTCCTCCGGCATGGAAGATGGAGGGGATGGATGTTCTATGGACATGTTCGATTGGGTGGAAGGCGGTGAGGGATATCCAGGACCTGAAATATAATTAAAAGCAAATCATCTTGATACCTGGTAATAACTTGGATCCACAAAATAAATGTTAATGTTCCTGATTAAAATATTAGTTTGGTTCGGATGTTTTCCGCTCCTTAATGTATTAGTTCCTAAATTTCGTTACATCCAGGAAGCCACAGAAAGCACGCATTTTCGGCGGCTAATATATGTATATGTCGTGATAACGACGTTAATTAAGCTGCTTTACGCAAGAGTTTCAACGTCAGGAACTGCGATGAACGACAGAATTGATTTTCCTGCATGTCGAGGGTTACTAACTATCGAATGTTTTGCAGCCAAAGTTAAAGTTTTGCGCTGGTGTTTCTAAAAAGATAGCTTGATGATGGAATCGTCTTGACTATATATCGACTCAAAGTTCTCTTAGTTTCTGATGTCATTGAATGTGATAAGTTCGATCCTCATTAAACGCCCAAAAGATACTGTGTCACCTTTTAATAAAGTGGAAATTCCTCTAGTAAATTGTGACGTCATCAATCTTTAATGATATGAAAAATATGATCATACATCCGGGCCTAAATTAAGTCATTCATTTATAAGGGATTGTCCTTCGATGTTTTTTAGAGTGTTTCGTGGATCGCTACTGTGCAAGTATAACTGCGTTTGATTGGAGGAAACTTATGAGTTCCTCTCAGATTATTTTCGATAATCAGATGTTCACGATCACTCTAAGATAGTTTATGAAATATTAGATTATACGTTCACTTATACACAGGATATATCACTGGCTCATAAAAAAATTTGAAATTTAGTCAATGTATTAAATGCATGATGATACTCGCTAGGCAATCGTTTGCAAGGCAATCTTCGCAAGACGAGTTTCCGTCATGATCCTGAAAGTTATAAAAATTCAGTTCAGCTGCAGGGTTGCTGTGTTTAATTTGGTCACTCCGCAAGGAAGTTTATTATTAGATATTAAATGGCTTTTTTAATGCACTTCAAATAACGTGATCCAACTACTGAAGTGGTAAATATGAGTATTTATCTAAATACTAACCATGTGTCTTCCAACTTCCAGTGCAGATACGGAATAACTTAAATATTTTTAATTAAACAGTCATAAAAATACCTTCTGGACTAAATAAATGATAATATTAAATTGGTATTCCCAGTAAATAGAAGCATCGAGTTTTTTCTTCGTTTGAACGAACTCCAGAAGCTGGCATCGCTAGCATCCATCATCAGTTTTTAAGAAAGTCTTGTTTATTCTGAAAACAATGTCACGTCATTGCATTCAGGATTGATGATAAAACTGTTCATGCACGAGTGCCTACTACACTAAAAATTGATAAAACTAATGACTCGACGTTCAGTTTTGGCAGCGATTTAAAACAAAAATTTACGGCAGTCCGATGAAAAATTTAACCAATCCCCCAAAAAATTTAACTTAATCAAAAAAAAAAAACAAGAAGCATATAATTGAGCTCTGTTTTAGTAGATTTGAGTTTCGGACAAACCAGCCAACCAGTGCCTGTGTACCAGATTAAATGAACCATATGCACTTGTTACCAAACCTTATGATAATAATAGCATTGGGGATGGATAATTTCATAATCTAGTTTCCATAATTTTTGGGTCGAATAGCATTCATGCTGACTTATGTCATATACACTTGTTACCAAACCGTTAGATAAGAAAGCATTGAAAACCGTTAATGCTAATTAATTATTTTTTATGTTTATTCTTCAACAATGGATTGATTTGATATAGCCTTCGCCACAACAGACCACGAGGCTTCAATAAACTGCTCAACAATTTAAAGCTAGCACTTAATATGTGTTCAATATGCACGTATTCTTTCTTCTAGTGATGTTTGCACCAGTTTTCCCCTAATTTTCCTCCCCATTAAAATTGAATTGAACTCCAACGCTATTGTATACGAAGGATGTATGAGTAAGTTTAGCTGTTTGAAGCTCTCGTAATAAATGAACTTCCTCTTTAATATTGAAAATAAAATTCAGAGTGTCTTCAATATCAACATTATACCCCATTTTATGTCAAATTACTTCATGCGCAGAATAACTCGATCAGCTTTATTTGATTTAAATTAAATTCCCTTCTCATTTACCAACATAAGTAAATGAAGCTTTTACGTTTCTGAATTCACCGTAAGAAAAACTCTTAGAATGAATTTCCGGAGGGTAATTTTGGATAAATGTTGTGAAGAGGCTGAATTAATCTGAACTCCAATCATGTCATGTGGAGGTGAGTGAAGGAGTGCGGATCAATGCTGCATGTATTAAAAAATGTTTCCGTGAAAAGGAAAGAAATCACATTACAAAACCTCGAAAGAGAAGATGGATAAAAACTTCTGAAATTGTGATATCTCTAGGTGACTAACGAATTGTTTTTTATGAATGAATTCCGCCGAAATGTTATTGAAGAGCTACTATAAAAACTCAAAAATGTTATTAGAATCTAAGATACCAAGCCCCATTTACTTTTTTAACTTAATCTCACCCAACTGCAGACAATTCGCGCCTAAATTCTAGTTTTTTAGTCTACTGTAAATAAGATCAAACCATGCAAGCTTTATTAATCGAAACACCAAACTACTTGCTTGAAAATGTATATGTGTAGCTAATATTTCGAATTTAGGAGGCAAGGGGAACCCATACAAGGAAATCGATAGCCGAAATATAAACTATATCAGACTCATAGAAAGTTTGTGCATTATTTCAATTTTCAAGTAAGCGACTCGTCTAGTATACATGACTAGCTTGCTCTATCCACTAATGATTGATCGTTGAAAAGCGCAAAATACTCATGAAGTTAAAGCCAAAATTTAGCGTTCCCAACTCCTTTAAACCATCGCAGCCAAGTCATCACAGATTCAAGTCATCATCACAATCAGCCAAGTCATCACAGATTCAAGTCATCATCACACTCAGCCAAGTCATCACAGATTCAAGTCATCATCACACTCAGCCAAGTCATCACAGATTCAAGTCATCATCACACTCAGCCAAGTCATCACAGATTCAAGTCATCATCACACTCAGCCAAGTCATCACAGATTCAAGTCATCATCACACTCAGCCAAGTCATCACAGATTCAAGTCATCATCACACTCAGCCAAGTCATCACAGATTCAAGTCATCATCACACTCAGCCAAGTCATCACAGATTCAAGTCATCATCACACTCAGCCAAGTCATCACAGATTCAAGTCATCATCACACTCAGCCAAGTCATCACAGATTCAAGTCATCATCACACTCAGCCAAGTCATCACAGATTCAAGTCATCATCACACTCAGCCAAGTCATCACAGATTCAAGTCATCATCACACTCAGCCAAGTCATCACAGATTCAAGTCATCATCACACTCAGCCAAGTCATCACAGATTCAAGTCATCATCACACTCAGCCAAGTCATCACAGATTCAAGTCATCATCACACTCAGCCAAGTCATCACAGATTCAAGTCATCATCACACTCAGCCAAGTCATCACAGATTCAAGTCATCATCACACTCAGCCAAGTCATCACAGATTCAAGTCATCATCACACTCAGCCAAGTCATCACAGATTCAAGTCATCATCACACTCAGCCAAGTCATCACANGGCGTTAGCGTCCCAGCGTGAAATTAACAGTAGCTTTACTAAATTTTAATCAAATTAAATTTTTCGTGGACTAGAAATTCTTTTCTGCATAGGTTCTCAACCACAGCGAAAAAATTCGTGATACGCAAGGACTTTTTTCTGCGGTACACAAGAAAATATTAAAAAGACTCTTGCCTAAATTAGCAAATCATAAGAAGTTTTAGCTGTTCCTATTATTTTTGTTAATATCATTCGAAATAAATCTAGACGCGTAGCTTTCAGTAAACTCAAATATAAAACCAGATATTATAAGAACTAATCGAAAAATCATACTACATTTATTCGAAACATGGCTAATTAAAAAAATACATTTAAACAATTAAAGTTTACATAGATAAAGCAATTTATTATTAGAACTCAGGTTTCCATGAAAATTCTCGCTGAAAATTTTCAAATTTAGAGGGATTTTTTTCAAATTTTAAAATGCCGATCTTAAAATTTTAGAAATTAGAGTAATCATGATTTTGCATCCTATTCCTCTTAACGTCTTCAAATGATTCTTTGTTTTCTAAACGAAATTATGATGTATGAGCAACTTGAAAATTTGTTGTCATTACAGTAGCGCGTCAAGCTAAAGTGCGTTGCAGGAGTTGTGTATTGGAGTAAAATAAATACAGAATCATGCACCGGTTATGACGGATGAAGGTCATGATGGGACGGATCAAACACCGGTTACAACGGATCAAAAACAGTTTTTGACGGATAAAGGTCCGGTTGTGACGGATCAAGCACCGGTTATGACGGATCAAGCACCGGTTATGACAGATTAAGCACCGGTTATGACGCATCTAGCACCGGTTATGACGGATCAAGCACCGGTCATGACGGATCAAGCACCGGTTATGACGGATCAAGCACCGGTTACGACGGAACAAGCACCGGTCATGACGGATTGCGGTTCTAGTTGAGCGTCTGAATTCGATCCCTGTGTTGAGCCTGAGACACTTGACGATCCAGATGGAGAACCATACTCGATTTGGGGAACCGGGATGTGCGAGGGATGATTTTGTGATTCTAATGTCGTAGAAGAGTTTATTAGTGATCCGGGAGCTTGAGACTCAACAGGCACTAATCCACCCGCATGGTTGCCAGATGTACCGTAGTTCGATGTTGCTGATGGCGGGTTGAGACTGGACGAAATTGAAGCAATCCACGCCGAAAAATTATGTGGAGCAACGCCTGGGATGAGCCATGGGTCTAGGGAAGCCGAAGTCGTTTCGGATGATATGTCATGTCTGTAAAAAAAAAATAATTAGTAAAAAATGCCCTTGGGCATCCTTATGCAGTCACAATTATCAAAAATAAGAGTTCCCTTGGCCGCTTGGTTATGATACATTAAAAAATATGTTCAGTTCTATAAGCCGAAGTTCTGCAAAAAGAATTCTAACATTAAAGTCGATGTGAGATCGAAGCTCCAAAGTAACATTTCATGAACTCGCTTGATATCTTTTCTCAACAATTTTAAATCGCAATATTTTAGTCTAAAGCTTTTATTAATTTCTAAGAGAGCTTGTTTTGAATAAAGCAAAGAAATTTAAGATATTAACGAAATGAAAACAACCAGGTTTGTCATTTTGACGTTCATGCAACGCAGATATACCTCCACACATATGACGTCGAATTAATTACTGCCATAATTATCAAGGTCATTTATATACTATGTATTTACTTGGTAATTCAAGAAAAAGTATGTCCTATCCTTTTCGTTTACTCCTAAACTGCGCAAGTTTGATGGTTTACAATCTTAGCTGTAACTTACATTTGACTTAGCAGAATGGTGAGGTTGCGGATGATTTCTTGAGTAAGCGCTGGAAAGTTTTCTCCTGATCCATATCCGGTTTGCAGAAAACTATCAGGTTTGATTGCTGACTGATTTAAAAATGGCGTTTCCTGGATATCTAAATTTGGATGAATGGTCGAAGGAACTTGTTGCAAAGAATTAGTCTCATTCATGCCAAGAAGATGAAGAATTAAAGCACCGGTTAAATTAACTAAAGATGGTGCCAGAGTAACAGGTTGATATGTTGGTAGTTTTGGCGCATGAACTTTTTCTTGGGTTGGAGGAGTCATAAAATATGCGGGTTTTGTAGGTCTTGGCTTTTTGAAAGTAACGAAGTCTAACATGTTAGTGCTATCACTGGAAACTTTAGTTGATTGTGTTGAATACTGTGGAGTTTGATATTTGTTAGTAGACAGAGAAGCGAATACGGGAGGACGCTTGGACGTCTTCGCTGCAGACGTGTGTGGCGGGCGAGAAGTGGTATAGAAACCTAACGGATCAGTTGTCATTGTGGCATCAGATGTTTGACTTCCCGTGAGTAATGGTGCTGGCTTTGTGATGATCGGCCGTGGTCTTGTTACGAATCCAAGTGGGTCTACGGTTGTTGAGTCTGCAAAAGTTCCATTTGGTTTTATATTTAATGTTACAGGCTTTGTGGCGATTGGCCACGGCTTTGTTACGAATCCAAGAGGGTCTACCGTTGTTGAGTCTGTAAAAGTTTCGCTTGGTTCGTTATTAGACGTTGTAGGCTTTGTGATGATTGGTCGTGGCTTTGTTACGAATCCAAGTGGGTCTACCGTTGTTGAGTCTGTAAAAGTTCCACTTGGTTCTGTATTCAACGTTGTTGGCTTTGTGACGATTGGTCGTGGCTTTGTTACAAATCCAAGAGGGTCCACTGTTGTTGAAACTGTAAAAAATCCACTTGGTTTTATGGTCGATGGCCCAATTGTGGTTTTTGGGTCGAGCGTGCTAAGTTCATTGAAAAAGTTGGCCGGTTTCGTGACAGCTGGTCGCTTAGTGGTGAAAAATGCCAGCGGATCCAAAATGGTCGACTCATTGATCAAAGCAAACTCTGGAATAATAATTGTGAGTAAACTGGATTCTGTGCTTGAAGCATCTGTTGTTTCCGATCCAGTGACTGAAGGCATCTCCGCGGTTGAGTTTGACATTAATGAACTTTCCACATCGGTTGTAATTACCCCTGGTGATGATGTCGTGATGGACTCTTCTGTTGATAAGATTATCACACTCGATGTGGGGAAATCTGTCGCAGTGCCAGTCGTCGGCGTGGTGGTCATTTCTTCCGTTGACTCATTGCTAACGGATGTGAATGTTTGAGAAGTTACTGCACCATTTACTGTAGACATTTGAGATGTAACTGCAGTTGATGTTGATGTTTCTGAAGCGTTCATATCAACTGTAGAAGTTGAGGCGGTTCCTTCTGAAACTGACTGAGTGGTTTCTTCAATCGAGGATATTTCAGAGGAAGCGATCAGCGTTATTCCCATCGCTGTTGGCTTTCCTGATATCAACAAGTCTGGAGGCTTCGTGAGTGGGGGCCGAGCTGTTGTGAAGAAGACGAGGGGATCCAAGGTATTGGTTTCCTCCGTGACTTTCTCCGGCGTGGGAGATGGAGGGGATGGATGTTCTATGGACATGTTGGATTGGGTGGAAGGCGGTGAGGGATATCCAGGACCTGGAATATAATTAAAAGTAAATCATTTTGATCTCTGGCAAAAACTTTGATCCGCAAAAACTTTGATCCTGTTTAAAATATTAGTTCTGTTCGGGTGTTTTCCGCCCCTTAAAGTATTAGTTCCTAAATTTCGTTACATCCAGGAAGCCACAGAAAACACGCAATTTTGGCGGCTAATATATTTGTTGTGATAATGACGTTTTAAGCTGCTTTGCGCAATAGTTTCAACGTCAAGAACTGACGACGAACGACAAAATTGATTTTCCTGCATGTCGAGTGTTACTTCCCTGCATGTCGAGTGTTCGCTGGTGTTTCTAAAAGATAGCTTGATGATGGAATGCCTTGACTATATATAGTCGCAAAGTCTTCTTAGTTTCTGATGGCATCGAATGTGATAACATAACATAACATATTGATGTCGGCGCTGACGTGTAGGCCTGATGTGGCCTGTCGCCGATTCTTTTCCTTTTCGTGCCTTGTTCATATAGATCTAAACTCGTGTCATTTGACCGGATCTTTTCATGACTAACGATAGTTTCAAGTAGCTACTAGACTTCCACCGGGTTTGATATGGTGCTAGGCATTTCAAATCTGAACTTTTCGACTTTTCCGCTCCTAAAGTAATTAACTTAGTTCGGGAGCTTGATGGAGCTTAATTTAAAAGGAAGAATGAAGCGCGAGCCTTGATCCTTGCGATGAGTGCGATCCTCATTAAACGCGCGAAAGATACTGTGTCACTTTGTAATAAAATGAAAATTTCTCTAGTAAATTGAGACGTCATCAATCTTTAATGAAATGAAGAATACGATCATACACCCAGGCCTAAAATCATGCATTTATAAGTGATTGTCCTTCGATGTTCTGAGTCTTTCGTGAAGCTATTGCGGAAGTATAACTGCGTTCGATTGGAGGGAACTAATTAATTCCTGTCAGATTGCTTTCACTATTATAGAGAGCGCATGAAAGATGATCACTCTAAGATAGTTTATGAAATATTAGATAATACGTTTACTTATGCACAGGAAATATCACTGGCTCATAAACAGTTTGAAATTTATTCAATGTATTAAATGCGTGATGATACTCGCTAGGCAATCGTTTGCAAGGCAATCTTCGCAAGACGAGTTTCCGTCATGATCCTGAAAGTTATAAAAATTCAGTTCAGCTGCATTTTACCAACATAAGTAAATGAAGCTTTTACGTTTCTGAATTCGGAAGCGTGTGATGCAAATTGTGTGCATGCGCGTCGTCGTTTTCATTATCGCGTAATTTTGATAAGAAAATTCACAGTGAATTCTAATTGCTCCCGAATTCCGTGAACGTCCGCGATTATCCGGCAATCAGAGCGGCAATGTCAGCTCTGGTGACAAAATGACACACGTTCTCTGGACCGTAAAATGAACTAAGTTCGAAACCGAAACTTCGACTTTTAATCCGAACAACCACTCTAGAAATTCGAAACAATTTTCCGATCAAACATCAAATTACTTCGTCAGTCTTAGTGTACAATTGGTAGAGACAGAAATAAGTAAATTCTATTCAAGCGACTAAGATGAAACCTTGAAAAGGAGATTTTTTCAAAAACTGTTGTCAATATCGGTTTTCTGTTGAACTAGGAAGTGAAAAGGTGAAATAACAAAGTTTAAAATCAGTGGTAAAACCGTTGAATAAAATTTCAAGCGAAACTCGAAAAGCTTAGGATTCCATTTCATCGTTGAACTGAAAAAGCGAGGATTTAATTCCAACAGAAACGCCAAGTCGGGTGAAGGCGCCGCAAAAAGTCAGGTTATTTGGTTCTGGTCAGTGGCTTTCTCTTTCTCTCAAGTAAAGGAAAAATTGGCGTATCGCCTTCACGTTCAGCTTTCTTACTTGAGAACCACAATGAATTTGGAGCGCTCGGTCCTGGCGAGCTCGCGTTCAGCTAAACGAAATCCTGGCGCGTTTTGTCCAAGAAATAAAAGATGGACAATCGTGATACCTTCAGGAAAACGTTCCTACATTTTTTATAACTCATCGCTGCCAATAATTATGATTCTTCATTGGAACACATGAAAGTCAAGGCATTTCTCATGGGAGAAAAAATGTTAGTTTCTAATAACTTTTCAAGCTTCAAACATAATATAAGCGTCCATGAATTGGATGTTGTTGATTTAATGTTGCTAATTTTATGTTCAATGTTAAAATTCCATGGGCAAGAATTCAAATCCAGCGTTATAACTCCCATTACCGATGTTTAGTGTTCAAAAAACCATTTTAGTTATCTTTCTAAATAAAGTTACGAAATTATTCGAATTCAATCATATGTAATTTTTCTTACTATATATACTGCGAAGTACTTTTGAACTCATAAAAATGTTAGACGGACTAGGAATTATTTTTACATGTCCACGATACAATACAAATTGCGATAATCGGTTATTGCTTCAAAGGAAGATCACAATTTTGGACGTCCAATTGAGCTAGAGAAACAACAGTGAGATCAACCATGCAGACACAGGAGCAGCGAGATCTATAAATTGCAACAACCCGATTTTTCCAATGAACTTCGCTCGCTGTTATACTGAAAAATGATAACCAAGGCCGGTAATGAATACAATTTCTTTTCGTAACTTCAGAATGTCAGTATTCGAAAGATTTTTAAATACTACTCCAATGCGTTAAACTTATACTATTATTATTTTTAGTATAACAATAATAGAAGACCGATCTATATACGTTCTCTTATTTTACCTTCGTCCATCTGCCTGACAGAATTCAAGTCCACAATTCAATAGTTAGTCCATGCAATTTAGTTAAGATAAATTTCAAAATTGTCATAAATAAACATTTTTCCTAGCAATTTTTTTATTTTGAATATGATTATTCACCTAATTACCAACCTAATCAACCCCTCATTTGCCTACATGCATTCACACCACCAACATGTCATCGTTTATCTCACCCGCTGTCGGGGGCGCGAATGTTGCCTCGATGATCACCACCGACGTAGGGTCGTCCATCGATGCCCCCGAGCCCCCGACCGCCCCCACTGTGTGTTCAACATTGTTGATTGGAATAATAAGATATGAATACTTTAAAATTAAATAAACATACCACAATTTTATTTCAAAATTGATATAAACACGCTTTCAACATTGTTGTTTGGAATAATAAGATATGAATACTTTTAAAATAAATAGACATACTAAAAAGTTCTTTCAAACTTGATAGAATAATGCTTGCTAACAAGTGGAATAAAGTAAAACAAATTTGTTTTATTAAACATTGTTGTTGTTTGAAATAATAACACATGAATTCTTTTAGATTAAATAGACATACCACTAAGTTCTTTCGAAATTTATAGAATAATGCTTGCTTACAAGAGGAATCAAATGAAATTAATTTTTTATCTTATTTATAAGAACACTTCATTATTGTTCAAGAAGGACATTGATGGTCTTTCTAAAACCATTTCATTGTTGTTCAAAAAGCACATTAATAATCTTTCTAAGAACATTTCATTATTGTTCAGAAAAGACACTAATAGTACTTCTAAGACATTTCATTATTGTTAAAGAACACATTATACCGGAAATTATTGGAGCAATGGACGCCGGCGGAATCAAATGAAATTAATTTTTTATATTATTTCTAAGAACATTTGATTATTGTTAAAGAACACATTATACCAGAAATTATCGGAGCAATGGACGCCGGCGACGAAGTAGAAGCCGTGGCGCCCGCGCTGACGCTGCCGCCCGTGAAGAAGCCCGTGACGAAGTTGAAGCCGTTGTAGAGCGTCGCGATGCTAGCGTAGCTGATCCATAGCTGTACAAAATATACAAACCATCAGTATATAATAAAACATCATGATCAAAATACAAAGTATCAGTATATAATAAAACATCATGAGCAAAATACAAAGTATCAGTATATAATAAAACATCATGATCAAAATACAAAGTATCATTATATAATAAAAAATCATCATCAAAATAAAAAGTATCATTATATGATAAAACAACATCATCAAAATAGAAAGTATCATTATATAATAAAAAATCATCTTCAAAATACAAAGCATCATTATATGATAAAACATCATCATCAAAATACAAAGTATCATTATATAATAAAAAATCATCTTCAAAATACAAAGCATCATTATTCAATAAAAAAATCATCATCAAAATACAAAGCCTCATTACGCGTCTCTGATAAACGCTCTTGTCCAAAGTAAATTTACACAATTGAATCAATCAAAAACCAATCCCATTTCCTTTGATAATCATCTTGAAGACGCACATAAGACATGTAAATTAAATACTCAATTGAAATTATCAATAATTATTGCCAGCCGATCAGCACTAAATAAGTAGGATGATTATTCAATAGCTGCTGCACCAATTATGTCCGAAAGAAAAAAAATTAATTCAGTGTGATATTTTTCAGCGTAATCTTAAAACATGATAAGCGAAGTACCTTTGAGAATGTTCATTACATTTTCATATAGATTATCTAAGCGGATTAAAAGACTCGTATTATGATGAGGTTCATTTTTTCATTGTAAATAATAAAAATATGTAAGGAAGTGTGAAATAATACACTTCATTAGATTATTCAAACTAATCACTTATACTCCATTTCAAGATATATGTTAAAATGATAATTATATCATTATGTTATTGTATCCGCAATTCAGTCCCTTGGCAACGGCTCGGTGAAAATGCAAACTCAAGACGTATCATGACAGATGAAAATTTTATAATTTTTTGGAGGCCTTTAGAACAAAGCGAAGCTTTGCATATGGTGCACTAACCGTGACTGGCAGTTCCTTTCACACATTTATGGACTGTGCAAAGGAAGCGATACCTCGGGTTATACGTGCAAACAAACGTAATTATGAAGAGTGTGCCTTGCATTGAAAAATCTAGACGTTAACGTCAAGTGTACAGAGAGAACTGAAAGCGAACACATGCTTCGGATGACATTATTCACCTGAACATTTATGGAGAGGGAAATCAACGCTTTAAGTGATCACATGTTCGCTGAATACTTTGGGGATTTTACTTTTCAAACATGTAGTTGAAAAGTACAGAGTACCAACTACATACATTTGGATCATAATTAAAAGCCTAATTAAGGCTTGAAATCGAGTTTAGCATTACATTCCCATTCAATGACCATACATTTCTTACGGATGCATCAACGTGAAACTTAATTTCAAGGCTAATTAATATGACTGATAGTTTATTTTTTCATGCACTTAAATAAATAAGGTTAATTAATTCAAGGCGTTTCTCAATCTTGATCAAAATTTTTCATCTTGGTTGGTTTGTGAAAAAATAACATAAAAAATTGCTCTCCAATTATTAAAAAATACTCAAATATCATCCGCCTCTTCATTTTTTTACCGTTGATAATATTTTTTATTCTTCATAAATTTTCACCGCATCCTCATATACATTTTACTCATGTACCTACTTCGCATAAGAAAGCGTAAAAACATATACTTAATAATATTATAGAGTACTTTCAATTCCTATTAATTAGGATGAATCTGTGCTAGTAAGATAAAGACGATAAGATTGCCGCATGACATGTCCTGCATAACAGGGTCACAGGTGCACTATCCTCCGTATTCCTGATCGCATCGCATACGATATAACGGCATCACGTCACGCTCCTAAACCCGTCCCGATCGTCCCGCAATAAGCCTGGGCTTTTTTCATTCGTCTCCTCGCAAGTGCATGCAGTTGATGCAGCAAAAAATGATGGGTTGTGTGCTCGGTGTGTTCAGGATGTTGACTAGCGTCGTGACAGCTGCTCGCATGGGCAAAGAAAGCCTCCGGTTTCGCTGTCATCGCGATAGTTGAACTTAGCAATTATTTTTCGAAGGAGAAACAGCTTAGGATTTTTAGCGAGCTTCTATTGCTGTCTAAAAGAAGAAGCAAGGCATTTGATTTTCAGTTGAATTATAGGTTCAAGGAGCATGGCATCTGAAATTCAGTTCAAGGAGCAAGGCATCTGAAATTCATTTCAAGGAGCAAGGCATCTGAAATTCAGTTCAATACAAGGTTCAAGGAGCATGTCATCTGAAATTCATTTCAAGGAGCAATAAATCTGAAATTCAGTTCAATTAGGATTATTCTTCGTTCATCTGACAATATCATCAATACAAATTAGGATCATTTTACCCTTTTACCTGCCGCAATTCATGAATGAAGCAGGCACCTATCGCGCAGCATTCTCGTGATCTTCAACGGCATTAGAATGAATCTAGAGACATCTCAAGTTAATAATATTTTTTGTAAGTGCAAAGTTCAATTGAAGTTTTAACATCGAATTTTACTTGATATTTTTCCCGACTTCAGATGGATTCGTCACGACAGAATTGCATGGTGCCTTTATGAATAGTGGGCGAGCAAAATTACAAGCAATAAATGCATCATTTAGTGCTTTGTAACGAACAGCAGATCCCAACAGACAAGCGACGTTGAAACAACGCTTAATTTACTTTGATTCAACGTCGATTTCTTGGTCTACTAGATTGCTTTTCATAAAAAAAATCATACTCTAACAGAAAAATTTCGTTCTAATTCGCTGTAATAAAATTTAATGTGGACATTTTTATCGATATTGTATCGATATTTAAAACAAAATTTAAATGAAATATCATTCTAAATTTTAAACCGTGGACCAATTCGTTTGCATTTGCTGCCCAGATTTGTGAACAAGTAAGTCTACTGACTTTTACACTATAATGTATAACACCACAGACAGTATAAATTAAAATTATTATTTTACTATAATGAATAATATGGAAGTCACCTGATATCATTTGACGATTGATGACTTTTATTTTTTAAATTATTCTGGCGCTGAATCATGAATTTTTTCTGTCATATGTACCACGCGTAATAAAAATGTGATGGTCTGAGAATTCGCCCGCACTTTTCGATACAAATTTCAAACCTGTGATAAATTACTATGAAAATTGAATAGCATAATAGTTGGCTTAATCTGTATAAATAACTACTTTGTTCTGTCTAAGACACTAGGTAATATTGGAGCTACTTATATAGTTTCATCATCACTTCGGTTTGATCGTAAAACTCAGGAGCCCGTTATGAAACCTCCCATAATAGCGTATTATGTGCGCTATACGCTGTAGCGTATTGGGAACGTTTTGAAAGGTTTTATATTATTACATTAAGAACGTTGTATTAGGAACGCTGTATATGTATTTATATTGGCGCGTTAAAATTGTTGTGAATCGTTTAATTTGGCGTATTGCGAACACTGAAGATGGTTTTATATTGGCGTGTTGAAAAATCCGCAGGTGCATATTTAATAACGTATAACAAACACTGTTAATGAATTTGTTTAAGCGCGTTACGAAGGCTTCAAATTTTTTAATATTGCGTATCACTAACCCAATGGATTGTTTTTGTCCAGCTTTTCTGTGCAAATCTATTTCTTTAATCGTTTTTCGCGCATTGTTTTAATTAATACTTCTAAAAATATCATGTATAATTACTAGTAATTCATACTGCAGATTACGCTTTCCCATAAACGTTATTTGATTCATAGTCTGTTTCATTGAACGCTATCAATTGCATTAAAAAAATTCTGTGTTCCGTTTCAAATTGAAAATTCAACTTGTGGTTTTGTGGGATTTACAATCAAAAAAATATAATCTCGCAACTAACAATTTACAGCAAAATGTTTTGTGATTTTTTGTTCACTTATTTCATCGTGGTCGGATATGTTTGAGAGAAGTACCAGTCATTGTTATATACTTCAACAGACAATAGACCTTATTTTAAAACTTAAATGCCTGGACAAATTCTGCCACACGTTTGTCCAGGCTTCCTAGGCTTCACTCTCAGCCACTTCCTTCTTAATCATCGGTTTTCCCCATCGCTAACCGGAAAAAAAATTTGCGTTTAAAGTTGCAATTTGAATGAAAGATCTTAAAAAGATTTCCAGTGTAACACTGGCTAGTGGCCTATATAATTAACAAAAATTCAAAGGATCGTTCTTATTTGCATTTCTTGCCAGCCTATAACTGTTTTCGTGGTATGTATGCCGTACAATCGGAAAGTTTGATATTCTCAAACATCCGGTACCCCATAAAGTGTTTACCTCATTACACGTATCCCTAACAAATTCCCAATATTTAAGCGTGTCATCGATGGCCCTCGGGGCCCAGCGGTAGGCACCTCATGTCGCACCTGCAATTATCATGACAACCCATGAGACTAGGAAGGTTTTTGGGACTGCCCCCAGGGTCCCGGGAGAGACTCGGTCCCTCGTAAAAACTTAAAGAGCGAACTCGTTAACAAGGGCATACTCGACCAGGAGAAACCCTGACCGGTTACTGACAAGCTCTTTGTAAATAGTTTTAAATTGTCCTGGCAAGAAAAGCTTGTAATTTATATTCACTTGGTGGCTTGGGAAATGAAAGAGGAAAATTCTGACACAGTGACACACTTGATGTTCTGAATGGTGAAACGAACGCCAGAAAGCCAAAACTAGTTAACTAACTTAATTTATAGAAAAGATCAAAATTTTCAAAGGAAATTATTGAGTGGTGACATTAATGGGTGCTGGGTTTATTCTGCAGTGTATTAAGGTTCCCCTTTGATTAATATTTCAAGAACAGATCTTCATCCTGTTATTTTAGTCAGGTCCATCAAAATTAGAGCACCAAACAACGCAACCAAACTAAATAAAAACAGCCTAACTTAAATATTCGTTACTCTAGTATTAGAATCATTCATTACTCAGGTAATAGTTCATCCCCTAGTCTAAATTTGGTGACC